ACTAATGAAATAATTTATTTTTGGTTTAATAATATAACATTTTATAAAGATAATAATTAAGTATTCTGTTAGAACTCAATGATTATCCTAATTGTATATTAGATTTTTTATATTTAAAATGAGACGTTTATCCTATATTTGATTTTGTTTATCTGCAGTTAGTTACACGAATTTAGATATGAAGCTTTAATAAGTTGTACTTACGCACAATCTACTTGTAATCTTGAGTTTTAAGTAACATGCAGTAATAAACAATACTTTATGCATAAAAAATGGTTTTTTAGAGTTTTTGTCAAATGTTTTATAATATAGTATAGATATATAATCAATTTGAAATTCTTAACTAATATATTATATTATAATTTTTTACTATCATTTTTGTGTTAATTAATATATTATATTATTAGACATTTGTTTTAATTATATTATAAAATGTTATAATTGACGAATTTTTCAAGATGTAATTTTTGATAATTTTAAAATTTTCATCTAATTTATCAACTAGTTTTTGTCAAACGTATTTTGTTTATCAGTTAGCTTATCAACTATCAGCTAACTTATCAGTAATCAACTAGTTTACCAAACATAGTCTAAAATAGAGTATCAAAAACTAAAATTTCCAAAAAAGAATTGCATCCAACTCCAACATCCATTTTATTTAATGGAATTAGAGTATTAACTATATTATTAAAATATTTGATATTGTTGGACCGGTAACTGCACTAGGGAGCCGCCCACGTGATATTGTCCGCTCTGGGTTGGTCAGCACAACCCCTTACGGCTTTAAAACGCGTCACTGGTAGGAGTAAGACTCCCACTTCCTTATAAGAAAGTCGAATCTCCCTAGCCTCACCGATGTGGGATGCTCCTGCATTGCTACAGGAGCGTTGGGTTTAAGATTCGCGGATTTGACCGGATTTAGGGAACGCTTAGGTTTTTCGGACCCAACATTCCCCCCCCACATTGGTGCGGCCCTAGCTCTGATACCAATTGTTGGACCGGTAACTGCACTAGGGAGCCGCCCACGTGATATTGTCCGCTCTGGGTTGGTTAGCACAACCCCTCACGGCTTTAAAACGCGTCACTGGTAGGAGTAAAACTCCCACTTCCTTATAAGGAAGCCGAATCTCCCTAGCCTCACCGATGTGGGATGCTCCTGCATTGCTACAGGAGCGTTGGGTTTAAGATCGCGGATTTGACCGGATCTAGAGAACGGTTAGGTTTTTCGGACCCAACAGATACATTTAATATTATTTCTCTCTTTTAAACATTTAATTTTAATATATTTTTATTGTTGTGAAATAAATTACTATTTTATATTTCTTATACAGAATCCTAAATCATCTACAACAGCTATGCTATTTTAGAAAACTAAAGATCTGGTAAAAAATTTGCTCAGACATCTATTTTAAACTTATAGATTTTTATATTCTTTCTACTTTTTTTCTATTTTACCATATAATATAGCACAACTGTTGGAGCACAAAACTCTTCTATATCACTAAAATTTATATTATAGAATAGCTGTTCGAGATGCTCTTAAACTGTCCTACAAAAATACAGTTAATTAGATTGTGGTAGACAGGTCAAAGAATTACAAATTGAAATGGTTTTGTAATTTATCAATATTGTCTCATCTCCAAGATTTTTTGTTACACATAGTTTGGAGGGACAGAAAATGCACTTTGAGCATCTCTAACAGATTTTCTAAAAATTCTCCAAAATGAAGAATTAAGGGGGTGTTTAGGATTGCTTATAAAAGTTATTTTTTAACTTATTTCAATCTGACACCGGTGATAAGCTGTTTTCTGGTGTTTGGATAAGAAAAAGAACTACTTATACCGGTGCCAAATCAGTAATAAGCTATTTTTGATAAGTTAATCCTTCCTGACTTATGAAAAACTGCTTATTACCAGTTTATAATTTTAACCCTATTTTATTTAACTCCGATTTAATACCACGTAAGTTAATAAGCACTTTTACAAAAAAACATAAGTTGTTTTAAATAAGCAATCCCACCCCCTCCT